CTCATCAGACTTGCAGCATACTTGAAGTTCCACCTATTACACAGGATAAGAAGGAATCTTGTGATGACTCAGCAGCAAGGGGGGCGAATCGACCGGGGCATTTTAGACCTTCTAGGTCCACCGACTTGGGCATTTTAAGTACTTCAAGTAAGTATTCACTCCTATATAAAGGAGGTGAGGTAACCTCAAACCCTAACTCTCATTCATTCCCATTCTCCCCCATAGCTGCTGCGCAACATCTCTTCATCACTCTCATACTGACTTGAGCGTCGGAGGCTCTACGCCGGAAACACCTCCGGCGTTGAGTTTTTGCAGGAATCTCGCGGTCTAATAACGATTTGGAAGCGGTTCAAGCAGATCTGAGCTTACATTCACCGGTTTACTACAGATCTGGAAGTAGACCCATCACTACCCTATCAGAAGTGATTAAAAATATCCTAATATTCTTTGATTTCGTATTAGGACAAAAATAAAGAAAATTATCTTGATGATAAATTTAATTGAAGAGTTATCTTTTACTTGAGGGGAGAAATTGTTAAAATACAAAATTCAACTGCACGAAACTCTTTGTTCTCCACCAAATCTAATATGTCTAGTTGCTCATCTGATATATGATGATAACTTCATTACACTTGGGACATTCATAAAATAAGACATTCGAGTTTCACTAAAACAAGAAAGTTTGAAAGAACTAATCCTGTTCATCTTAGTAAAAGGGCCTAAAATATGGTTCTTAAAACAGCAATAAAAGTAGACAAAATACAAAACTTCATTTTTCCTCCATACACACATGACTAATATTTTTTACCCTCTTTTTTACGNNNAAAATCAAATTTTACGCAAACTAACTAACAATCATTTAATTGTTTTTTAGTACATATATAAATTTTTCGAATGAGGCTCAAGCAGCCTCATATATTACTGATGTCATTTTTCTAATAAAGAAATACCGACAATACCATTTAAATATTACATCATTTTACAGAATTTGAAAGAGAGGAGAAAAGAATTGCACATGATGCTGTCTCATATAAAACTGAATGAAATTTCTTGATTTTTAAGGTAAAGAATTTCCATACTTTCTATATATTCCACATTATTGGTACATGAATGCTAACATCGTAATCCCGTGTAATACACTATTTCTAACAGTAATAACAGAATATAAAAAGTTAATAGAACATTCAGAATATAAAAAATTAACAGAATATAAAAAGTTAATAGAACATTCAGCTAAAAATTAACACAAATTTAATAAATTGTGATCTGCAGCCTATAGTAGATAACTAGCCAGATTAGCTTAGTTCAATAAGAAAAAAGATAGAAAGATGGGACTTTAATTTTAAAACAAAATTACAAGATTTAGCTTTTTACCAACCAAGAGATTATACAAAATTTCTTTAAATAATCTGACTATCTCACAGAATGATTATTTCCTTCAAAATTATGCCTCATCCTATATATGACAAACCGTATAGAGTGCTAATAGTTAACATTCTCTTGTATAAAATTGCTTCATCCTTCCAACTTCTTTAATGGAAGAATTTAGTATAGAAGGGCAAGAACTTCTGCTTCTAGTAGAATTGGTTTAATCGAGGCATAAGAGAAACCAGTCGAGAATAAGGTATTTGAAAATATATAGAAGCTGAAAATTGATCCTATGACAAGGGTATTTGGGGAAAAAGTTGAAAAGCTCTTTATTGTATGTTGAACAAAAGTTTGTGAAATATTAACTACTCTCTTATACATATGACAAATATTCATTTTTAATTAATTTACTACTAGTACGATACATGTGTACTATACGGGTACTTAAATATATTAATATTTGTACAATATCAAATTAAAATAGTTTGTAATTTTATTGTAAAATTATGTATATGAATATATATATACAACAATACTAAATAACTAGCGAAGTGATAGTTAATTCAAAATGGTGCACGTATTTTACACTAAATTTGTAAAAAATGATATTCTTTATTTTTTTTTTAAATCATATATGTCTAAAAAAATATTATTTACAACTCCATATATTTGATTCGATTTTTTTAAAACAAAACAAGTTTTATTGTATTTTTACTATATTTTAGATTTAAAGAGTCAGCGTTTCTCATTTAATTAAATTTTCAAGTATTTTAATTCATACAATTTAATAATCTAGAACGTTAATTTACACGAAAAAGTATTATTTTTCAAATTTATGAAACATAAAATTATTTTTATAATATTTAATTATGATATTATTTTAAACAATATAATGACATTCATTTCTTTATATAATCTATTTAAATCGGGAAATGCTATTTTATAATACTTCTTATGATTTTATATAGATCCTGCGGCCTGAACTAAGTCGGAAGAAAGTATGGCTTGGGCGCCTTTGGCGTGACTCACCTCGGGAGACCAATGGGAAGAAATTGGGACAACGGCTATGGGGGTGGCTTGGAGAATCTGAAAATTGTCAATTTAAAGAGTTCAGAAGGTTTTGGGAAGAAGATGTCGAAGAAGACATGGTAGGAGAAAGTCTGACCTTATGTGGTCCTCAATGAAGAAAAGTAGAAAATGAAAATTGATGAATGAGGAATAAAAACTACGAAGAGAAAAGAAGTTTAGAACATACCCATCAATCTACCGAGGAGAAGAGTCAACGAGGTCTAGAGTTCGTAAGCTGCGATGAGAATTTAAGACACAAGTGCAATTTCTAATGAAATGTAAGTAGAAGAATATAGAGGAAGAAGTATAGAGGTGGCGGAAAGAAGCTAAGTTCTTATAATACGCGTTAAGAAAGACAAATTCGACTGTTGGGGGATGCCCGAATCAAGGGCTCAGAATCTTGCCCAGACTTCAGTAAAGCGTATCCACGTAGACACTATGTGTAGGGCGGGATCCGAGCAGTTAAAAAGTTCTCTTTTTGCGCCTCGTGCTCTCTCGAAATTACTCCATACATTGAACAAAACAAAACAAAAAAAAAAAAAAAAAAAAGAAGGACAAGTTCAAAGTTACGTACATGAAAGTCCATTTCAACAAAAGGCAGTTACCTCGTACTGAAATGGAGGGGCTAGACGATATAGCACCCAAAAATAAGCTTGGCACGTCGGTCTAAGAGAGTAGGTCGGTTATGACCGGGCTAAGAGAACTCTCGATTAATGTAAATACAAGATGCACGACCAAGTAGCTCGGACACGGGTCAAGGGTGCCGAGCTGGTATGTTGGAAATTTGGCCCAACTCTCAGGCCCGCGGACGTCTCGACCCAATCCTGTCTGGGCCTCGCACTCACTTACCCGGTTTAATTGGAACCGTTGGATTTGGGGATTTAATCCCAGCCTTCCACTACACCCTAAATACCCTATCCCTCACTTTCGCCACCACACGATAGAAGACCTCACTCTCTCTTTTCTCTTGCTGCGCGTCTCTTCTGTGAGACAGAAAATCGATCTCTCTCTGTGAGGAAAACCCGATTGAAGCAGCTGTGAGTGACGAGTGTGAGTGACACCGTGAGAGCCATCGTGTGTGCCATCGGAGTGCCGCCTAGAGTCAGCCCTTGTGCCGCCACGCCGTCGCCCTATTCAACCCGCCGGTTAGAGCTCTTCGTGGGGGCTTCCGGCGTATCTCTGTGCGAGAAGGAGGGGTTAGGCGACGGGTGACCGGGTGCGGGGCTCGTGTGGTGAGGTGCAGCCCAGGGTGCGGGCTGAGGAACTGGGGTCGCCGTTCGTTGACCACCACCGAGCCGCAACTGTGTCGAGGGTGCCGGAAAGAAGGACTATCTGAGCCCGGGAGACTTCGTGTCTTCAATATCCGGCGAGATTCCGGCAAACGAAAGGGAGATTTGTTCTTTCCCTTTTATTTCTTACTTTCAGCCCTTTACTGTTGTTCATTTCATTAGGTTTGCTATGATTCATCTTTGTGTTGTGATTTGCAGGCTTGAAACGGGCCCTTTAAGAGAACACGTGAACCAGCCCGGGCCTGAAAGAGGGCTGTCGGAGTGGCCTGTGAACGAGCAGATTAGCCGGGAGCTCGAAAGGTGCTGCGAGCGAGTCAATCGAGTTCAAGACGAAGCTTCTGCTGCCAATGAAGAGAGCGGTGCGAACGGGACGACCACACAACATGGTAAAATAGACACGACCTGGAGGTACGGGCCTCCAAGAGTCCGGTAAGATAGTTGACCTCGATATGCATTGAGGTCTGGTGGTTTGGGGTGAAATTAGACCTATGGGTGAGGTTGGATCAAACCTCAGGACAGGGTCAAGAACGTCCTCAGAAGGGCCATACATGACAGGATGGGAGGTCGAATCTACGACTTAAAGATCCCCGAGCTAAAACAGTAAAAGGGGATGAATCCAAGAAAGAAGTAAAAGATCACTCGCTTAAGACTCTTTCCAAGATAGGGAGGTGGTAAGTTAGGGAAGTAAAATTCCATGTGAATTTCTTCCCTAATAAGTACTCTCTTCGGCTTTGAAGTATTAAATCCTATATAAGGACGACAAGTTCTCTCGAATCACACAACACACAATCCACGCTTTATTCTCTATATTTTATACATTCATAGTTGAGCGAGTTCTGATTTGAGCATCGGAGAGTTTTTTGCCGGGACCCCCTCCCGGCATAATGCAGGTTATCGGAAGCTCTAGAAGAAGGATTGTTCAAAGTGGAAAGTGTTCAACTCGATCATTACCAAAGGTGACGTATCAATTTTTATTTTTATTTTGACCAAAAAATTATCAACATGAATCACGAAAAATAAAATTTGTGGTTTATTATAATGTATATCAATAAAATTATTGGAGATGTTAACAAAATCATTCAAATAAATAATCTTTATATCTGATTTGGAAATGTGTATATTCAAGCATTTAATACATATCTTTAAAAAGTTTCCAAAAAAGGTATGCATTAAATGTCCTAAGATTTTTTTTCGCTACTATTTTTAGTAAATGTTTATTCTCATTATACATGTATAGATATTTTTTAGATATGATTGTAAAGTACGAGATCAAGACACTTCAAAATTCAACTGCATTTATTACTAAGAATCAAGTTGAATGTACCCAAGTCTTTGAAATTAATACATCATTAAGAAAAATAAATTGTTTGATTAGAAAAAAATATGTATATATATATATATATGATAGGGTCTACCTAATAGAGGTCCTGGCATCAAGCCATGAAATAATATCATTAAGAACCTCCAAAATTCTATCATCAGGCTCACCTTCCAGAATACAATGAAAACCCCCTTCATAAAGCTTCAAGCTTTTGTCCTTGCTACAAGCATTCTCATACAAAAACCGGCTCACACGCGGATCCGTTACCTTATCCGATGCCCCATGAAGTATCAGCATTGGCGATGAAATCTGTCGAATATAATATTAATCTCACAAATTTTCTAACTTACTATATAAATTATACAATTTTATCATTTTTCAGTTTTAAAACTAGCGATTCTCAAGCGTACCAACCTTTTCGACCTGTGATTCAATATATTTTGTAGCGTTCAGAAGCTCGACTGCAGTCCTCAGTCGAGTTTGGTCCGAATAACTGATCACATTGTATGGAGCCTTGAAAATAATAGGGATGCCGATTAGTTCCATCATCATAGTTGAATTACAAAGGATTAAATGCAAGAATGAAAAGCAGCTAGAAGAAAACTAAAAGGAATGAATACAAAAAACTAGAAAAAATGGACAAAACCATTTGTTTCTTGTTCAGCTCTCTGAATGCCAAATCGGCCAAGTCCTTCTGAGGGACGAGCTTTGCTTGTGGCAAAAGGTTCGATAGCAAGATTAGTATTTTCTGCAGCGGTACAGGTGGCGCCATTTCATCTGATATCTGAGTATCCAAAAAGATNGCACTATGCCATCCCATTCGTTCGGAGCCTTCAAAAGCGCTTTTAAAGAAATTGCCCCACCCATCGACTGCCCGAATAAGAAACGGGGCAGCCCCCGAATCTCGGGCCTCCCTGTGTTTAAGAAAATAAGTGTTTGTCTATTTTAGCAATCAAATTCCATTTTTGCAATAAAGAAATGACTAAAGGAAAACAAATGCTTACCTTTCATTATTGTAAACTGCTCAATAACATTATCAACTATGGCGTCAAACGAGGGTACATAGCCGTGCAATCCTTCTGAAAGACCAAAGCCCGGGTGATCGATTGCATACACGCCATAGCCAGAGGCGGCAATGTATTTAGCAATGCCTGACGAAATTCACAACATTTAATAAATAAAATTAAAACAAAAAATGTTCCAATGGTTTCACTTGAAATGAAAGAAAGGCATACCTTCAAAGAAAAATGTGCACGTGTCACCATATCCATGGCAAAAGCACAAAGCGCCTTTGATTCGTACGCCGGGCTTAGGCAACCAGCTCTTGCAGAAAATCTCTAGTCCATCAGAATTTATTTCATACCACTACAGAAAATTAGGAAGAAGAAAGGGCATCAAAATAAGCAAATATTGGATAAGGAATGTCCAAGTCCCATGAGGCAAGAAAATAGTGTCACACCAAAGTCCAAACAACATAAAATGGGAGAGCATGCAACTAAAGATGAATAAAAATTGTCTTTTTAACACCTAATTCAAGTATTCAAGAAATTTAGCTTCAATTTGGCCTTAATTTTAGTTCAGGGCTTACATCAAGAACCATGTCAAGTCAAAAGAAATGAATTATATATCCATATGACAAATTAACAACAAAGGGGTATTTTGTATTTTATCAACAAATTACTGAAAATGAAACCACACACTGTTGAAAAAAAAAAAAGAAAAAGAAAAACTCACCTCTTCTGTTCTGATTCCAGCTGGAACTACCTGTTCTTCACAATAATATGAAAGGGGAAAAAAAACAAGGAAACGACTCAACTGCTCAGTATTTTTTCTTTCTTCTCAAATCAAAAAGATTCATTCTTGGTCAAATTCAATTAAGAAAAACAAAGAAATACAATTCAAGAATCACTAATACCTTAAACAAAATGTGATCGAGCTGCAGCTGAACATTGGCAAAAGCCGAACGCACTCTCCTTCGTGCAGGCGCGTGGTCAAGATTTTGCGACGCGATCGAGTTTAGCTCATCGCTCAACCCTTCGATTTTCGGCTTTTTCTGCGCCATCACGACCGCTCTCTGCCTCGACCGGGCTGGCTCCGAGCCCATCGGCCGGAAAAAGGACCCGTGAAGGTCCCGGCGGAAAAGGGTACATTCCGGCTGCCGGAAAGAGGAGGGCAGGCAAAGATCCATTGGGGAATCTTGGGCTTGAAAAGAAAACAAAAGAAAAGAAAAAGAATGAAGAACGTGGAATTTGGAAAGACGCAGCTTATTTTGTCCTTATTAAACCCCCCATTTTTTCTTCAGTGTTTTGAAAAAGGTCAATTCAATATCCAACCGCATATAAAAAACGTGGTGTGTGGTTTGTAGTTTGTAGTTTGTACCGTAGACATAAATATGTACATTTACAAAATTTTGTACATATATAATTATATATAGGTTATTTCGTGGGTAATTTCTTTTTCTATAGTGCGCCGTCACATTTAGGACCATTACCAGAGCTTTCTCATCTTCAATTGTTCATTGATTGTTCTATTTCATTGTCACCTGACTCCCAAAATTTAATGTGGCATTCAAAAAATATAGAAGTCTTTCTAGATGTAGAAAGACTTTTACACATATTTTATTTTATATTATATTATTTATTTATATTTATCTCTACACCAATCAATTATTATCTTACACGTGTCAAATTATTTTATAATTGATATTAACCATTGGAGACAAAATATTTTTATTTCCTTTCTCTACGCCATACATTTCAAAATAGACATTGTGCCATTATAAATGCTTTGAAGTTGTTTTTTAAGCAGAAGATTATATAATTTCTTGATAATTACCAAAACCGTTGTTGTTGCTGCTTTTATGTCTTTCCTAAATGGTGGGCCTAAAAAACAGTAATTATTTTTAGTCATTTTGGAATGGCATACACAAATTTTAGCCATCAGCCATGTTTTGGCAAAAACATGTTTTTTCAGCCATTTTTGCACCTAAAAAGACAAAAATACTCTTACTTTCTATTTTTCTTAAAAAAAAAGTTCCCAGAAATCGGTTTATGGGTTCCAGATACGATTTCTAGTTCCAAAAATCATTTTTGGGATCCTAGAAATCGTTTCTGGTCCTAGAAATCATTTATGCAGCTGGTCATTTATGAGACAAAAATGATTTCTGGGATCCCAAAAATCATTGAAAATATCCGAGAAATAGTTTTTGCATCCCTAAAATGGTTTATGGGATTCCAGAAACGGTAGAAACATTCCATAAATAATTTTTTAATCATATAAACCGTTTCTCTGATTCTAGAAATCGTTTGTGGTTCAAATTTTATTCGTTTTATTATATAAGACATTGACTATCTAAATCCCAAATGTTTTTTTACATTGTTTTGTTAGTAAAATACATTTGTATCTTTTTTTACAGATGTCGTGTGAAATGTTCGCATTGTGCATAGACGAACATTGTTTTTTTACATTTGGGATGATAATATTTATAAAAATGGACAGGCAGAGACGAACTTTATGCGTTTGGGGAATTTATTGTATGAAGACTTTTTGAATAGAGTTCATGACATTGTTTGTGGAGACAAACACACATGTGAGTATCGATTTCACTTCTTGATGGCCAATGAAGAGGGAATATATTCTATTCTCCCGATGTTTATCCTTAATCTTCGTAAGTTAGGGATATTGATGTGTAAACATTTGGTTTCTCATGGAGTTTGTACATTTTCCTATGAGTTTTATATATCGGTTGTTGGAAAAAGAACCATTTGTGAACAAACTTTTAGTGTTGGTGAACGACTTATTTATTATTCCACCAATTAGTTTTAGGATGGAACCTCAATAGGGTGCATCTAGACTCATCCTCATATGGTGCGCTTCACATGTATGAGACTCACAAGTGAGGGGGTGTATTAGAGTATCACTTGTGAATTGTCTCACATCGTTTATATAGAGAAAATAGGCCTAACTTATAGGCCCAGTGAGCTACTCATTCTATCACTAATTGGTTTTGGGATGGAACTACACTATGGTGCACCTAGGCTCACCCTCTTATTGTTCGCTTCACGTGCATGGGACCGCATTCATTTATCTCGATTCTTTCATGGTATCAGAGTGGGTCTACGTGGGACCTGCAATGACGTACTCGTTACCAGCCTACTTGGGCTTAGGCTTGGGCTTAATATGAAGGGCTCAAGGACTCACAAGTGAGGGGGCGTATTATAATATCACTTCTGAGTTGTCTCACATCGTTTATATAGGGAAAACATGTTTAACTTATAAGCCTAATGAACTACTATTCCTACCGCCAATTGCTTTTAGGATGGAATCTCATTAAGGTGCATCTAAGCTCACCCTCGTATGGTGCGCTTCACGTACATGAGACTTCACCAATTTCCCCCTATTATTTCACCGGTTATGTTTTCAAAGAGGGTTTGAGTGATAATTCATAGATGAATTGANAAACAAAACAAAGAAAGAAAGAAAAATGATTCATGTATTTGAAAATACTTTTTAAAGGAGTGATGCCGAGTAATTTTCTCCAAAAATATATTCGTCTATAAACCATTTGGGCCAACACATAAGAACCAGCACATGGGCTGAGATGAAGATCCTATCAATTTCTTACTATATAGTTGTAGCTACTTATCTGGTGTAACCTATATTTCTGGCCTATCATGCGATTGGTACTATCAAAATTCTCCAAGCATTGGCAAGTGAACTTTTCTTGGACTCACTTAAAAGTTTTGGGCCTTCAGCCCAAACATTTTTATTTTTTATTTTTTTTTTTATTATAATTGTACCACCTTTCCCCGGTTTATATAGAGTTTATATATTGTTATTAATTTTTGATTTTATTATTTTTTAAGTTACGACTCGTTTATAAATAATTTATGTGTAATTTAATTCTAAATTTTGTAGTTTAACAAAATAACAAAAATTAAAAATTAAAGAGTAATAAACATGTAAAACGACCTAAATTGACTTGGTTTAAAAAATGGATTAAATTTTCGTTTATCTTAAGTTTAATTTTCCTTATTTGTATGTCGGTAATTCAATTCATATATAATACAAGTAGAGATGACAAAACGGGCCGACGGGACAGGCTTTCCCGTAGTCTACCAAAGCCCACGGATTGGCGGAGCGGGGCAAGCTAGCCTGCCATCCTGGCGGGCTTGAGTAAAGCAGGCCCAACTCGTCCCTGCCTCGGGCTGCTGGTTTGGCGGGCCAGACCCGCCTGTTTTCATTTTTTTCTAACTAGCTTTACTTATGAAAAAACAATCCATTTGAGCCCGGGTAAATTTTATTGTAGGGTTTAACTTTTTGTTATTGTGTCACAATAAAACCTGAATTTTTAACTTTTTTCATTTGAGGGTTTTAATTTTAAGTTTCTCTTAATTAAAGGCCTAATTTTACATTCTACTTTTCAATTTAAGACTCCAAATTACTTTGTAATTTTACATATATATGTAAACCAAAATACTATTATTTTTAAATTTGTATTTTGAATAATTATAAATAGTTTTAAATAAAATTACTTTGGTAAGAAAATTAGTTCATTTAAGCTAAATTAATTTTACATAAACGTAGCTTATTTGAATTAATTTTCTTACGAAGCTAGTTTAACAAATATATTTATTCACAAAATTATAAACAAATAATATTTTCTATAAGTTTATTTCAAAAAATAAAATTAGTTTTCTAAATAGTTTCTATTTTAATGTTATTACATATTTAGATTAAAATTAAGTTAAAATTTATTTTTTAACTTTTAAAATAAAATTCATTAAGCTTTTGAATAAATGTAAATTATGGAATAATTATTTTATTAGGTAAATTTGGCAAATATATTTAATTATTTAATATTTTTCATTATAAGTACTTAAAATATAAATTTAAAAAAAAAAAAGAGTATTGTGGTTTACATAATTATTTCAAAATACAAAATAATTTGAAGTCTTAAATTGAAAAGTAGAATGTAAAAGTAGGTCTTATACTGAGAATAACTTAAAATTAAATCTCTAAAACGAAAAAAAATTGATAATTCAGGCCTTGTTGTGACATAATAACAAAAAGTCAAGCCCTACAATATGATTTTTCCTTTCAGCCCCACACACAGAAGCAGGGTTCTGGTCACCATGGTGGTGTCGCCTTCATGGATATAAAGAGATGTAGTTTTTATTTTCTGTTTTCCTTTCTTAATTTACTCTATTTCATTGTCAACCTTGGTCACCATGGCGGGCAGACTTTAAGGATAACGGGGGCACAAACTACGGTCAACACGGTCAACCCCAGAAGTCAACGGTCAAATCAATATTTAATCAATTAAAAAAATAAAAATATTAAATCTTGATCAGATATTTTTTTCTTACTTAATAGATAGGGTTGAGTCTCACATTCTTATTTTAAAAATAGGGCCACATTTGATCTAATCCCGATATAGTATATACATTTATGTATAATATTTATTTTTTTATGTATTTTTAGAGGGAAAAGGAAAAATAAAAGAAGTTGAGTATAACATAAACATAAATTTCACAACTTAAAAAACAACATACTATTGAAGTTTAAAAGAATTCTAAATATTTCCTTTTTATTTTTGTATATTAAAATAATTTTACATAATAATTAATAACATGTATTTTTATATGTCATATAATAATATATTTATACATATAACATATATATACAATATATAGAAAAAAATTGTACAAGGGCCCGTACCCCTACGGGTCCCTATGTACATCCGCCACTGTGACACCATTTGCTTGACACTTTGGATTGATTTTGGGAAAATTACGGACATGTAGCCCCATGTGTATATATTTACATATATACATCCATTGACAATATTAATCAAAACAAGAATATATTGTGATTTTAATTTCATTAGTACGAGATTTTGATTTAATCAAATCTGATACGGTCTCTCTCTCCATTTACTGATCATGGCATGATTCTCCCGAAATCAACGCACAAAAGATGAACAAAGCGAACTGAGTTGCCCCATAACAGGAAAAGAAAAGACAATAGGTCGTCATATGGCTGCACAAAGCGATCCAACGGGACTCAAAATTCAGTGAATATCAAATTCAAAATTTGAAACGGGACTCACATATCATCTCTCTCTTTCAGTCGAAAAACAAAAACCAATCAGTTGGGAAAGAAAAAACGATCGTGTTGATGTGTGAAATTGATCGGAAATATACGCTGAGCCAAAAAATTCGAAGGTATATTCATGTATATGTTTTTTTTTTTTTTTTTTTTTTGGGGGTATACAGAAAGTAAACACAAATGATATTGCTGTAAACTTGAATATTTATTTAGTAAATCTGTTTATTTTACAGGAACATGACTGATGTCAATATGTTTATACATCACAATGGAGTGTGGATCAACAATGAATACATGAACAATCAAGTCGGAGTTTTTACAGAGTATTCGCCGAACATGCTGCAGATACAATGCTGAAAACAACAAAATATACGGAAGATAAACAGTAGATAAACAACTCTAGAACACTTAAAAATGTGGTGGAAGGATGTATGAGTTCGGATATTGTGATACAATGCTGAAAACAATGCGGAGCATGCTGCAGATACAATGCTGAAAACAGCAAAGTATACGGAAGATAAACAGGAGATAAACAACTCTAGAACACTTGTGTATGTTCTTTAATGAGTCAAGCAATGCCACCTCGCATGTTGGTAGCATCATACCAACATCGTATCAGTGTATGAATGCAATATAACCTCATTAAGATGTGTGCAACCGAGAGATGAAACACCAGTGATGATGATTTTGGGTTTTTCATAAGGTTCGTGAACATGCAGATACTATGACAAAAACAATAAAATATACTGAAGATATACTTGATGTTAACCAAGACAATGGTTGAAGTATATGCAACATATATCTTATTTAGCATAAGTTTGTAGTATGTTAAAATTAAAGTATATATTGTGAAATATTTACTTATATTGTAAAGTATAACTAAGGTTATTATTCGTATATGTTTACTACAATAATTCTATTATTTTACACTGAAACATAAACTGGAAATAAACAATATAATTACTGTTAATCATACGGATAAAAAAAATGTACTATCACCTTCTTCGGAAATCCTACTATAATAGGCGTTGAATTGTGTTATATGTTGACTATGATTTACCTACATTTTTTAAAACTTTGCAAAAACAAGATGGTGTATACTTTGTTTAACGTCTAAAGTATATTCAATCTATATGTTATTACATATACAATCATGTTTAATATACCGAAATATAAACATTAAATAAACACCACAAACTCACAAGGTATCATATGCATTATAAAAAATAAAACCACTTTCAATAGAAAATTATAATTAAAACCTGAATATTCTAATCTTACAGGTGCACAATCAAAATCCAACTAAACGAACCTCAAAACATAACAAATAAGGAAAAAAAAAAGAAGATAGTATCTCAGTACACATACATCCAAGACCGATTCTTTCAACTTAGAAAAACCATGAATTTAACAACTTATTTGAAGAATTCACCGGCAACTGATTGGCTCGCTCCATTTTTAACATACCACGTTACCGCCGCTAACGGTTTTACTTTTTATTTTTATTCTTTGTAAAAATTTTGGTTGATCAGATGATTCACAATAACCCTCCTCAATGCCAACTGCTTGGCCTTCATCGTCTTCGAGACCAAATTTCGTATCCGACTCTTGTTGCAAATCTGAAGAATCTACCATCTTACCCTTACCCTTGTTCGCAATGTCATTCTTTTTCGCGATGTGACGAGATTGGGAGAGGGTTATCCTTGCTTCGTCTTTAATGTTGGATGGTTTGCTCTCAATTTTTGTTCGCTTTGACATTGTTCTATTAGAGAGATGCAATTTTTTTGTGTTGAGATATTAAGGTTTTTCTGTGTGTATGAGAGAGAGGAAAATTTTTTGGGGAGAGATAAGAACTGCACTATGGCCGAGATATTGAGAGAGATAGAGTGATATCTTTTCTTTTCTTTTTTTTTTCGGTTGAGTGTAAAGGTAGGAAATCAACTTTTCCGATATTCATGTAAGAAGGTTTGATTCTATTTGAAACTGACAATAATTTCGGACTTAATTAGTCTAATTAACATTACTTAACGGTTAATCAGCCCAAATTTAAACCACCTAATCTATTATTAATATTATTTTAATTATAACAATTCGTAATTTTGATGAAAGTTCTATTTAGTCGTACATATGATATTATTTATGCAAGGGATTGTATGGGAGGTAATTTTCTCATTGGGTTTTCAATCATTTTCATGCGACCTTTTTGTTGTGGGCTTGAAAATCAAGCCTTCTCATAATCAAGCATTCGGGTTGGGCTTTCTTTCCAACTATTTACTGAGCCTAGTACAAATGGCCCAAGGCTGGGTCTAATATATATATAATTAATATTAAGGAAATTATACCTCACTAATATATTTTATTTTAATAACACTTTTGGACCCCTTATATTTTTATTTGTAAAATTACTTAAATGACAAATAAAATTTTTAATTATACCTAACATACTACACGAACTGTTATCAACTTTTTAAATGCTAATGAGAAATTTAATTGGAACTAAAGATACACTTACCTAAAAGAAAGGAACAAAAAAGTAATCAAAACTTGATAACCTTCTGCCAAAACCACCCAAAGCCGCACGTCTCCTACCACTCTGCAAAAAAACGGCTCCAGAAATTTTCTCCAACTCAAGTTTCAATGGCCAAAACTAAACTCCCTCATCGTCATCGAAAAAATCCGACAAAATGATGCCGACGACACACCTCATATTAGATCGAGTAACCGGCTCCGTAAAATCCACCAAAAACTCGTTCAGAGAAAACTAATTTTCGAAAAAGATATAAACCCTAATCCTAGTCGCAAGTCTTCCGGCAAGCCTAGAATGCAAAAATCTAGTTCATCTCCCAGTTCAGACGACTTCCGACAAGAAGCTTTTGTTGTCGATATTGGTGTCGTTGGCGGGAAGTAGTGGACGAGCGAGGAAGAAGATGGTGAGCTCTGGTTATTTGAGGAATGTCTAGAGGCTCGCGGAGGAGGAAGACGAGTTGGCCACGAAGAAGATTATGAGGAGGGTTTCGACGAGTAGGTTGAAGGGGATTTGGGGAGGGCTTTGGCATTCTTGATTAATGGAGGAGTTTCATGGTTAACATTAGTTCCACTTTTTTTTTTTCGTCTCTTTTTTTTTGTGGGTTTTGGGGAAGAATTTTGAGGTGTAAATTTTAAGTTTTTTAGTTGGTTTATTGCTCTTGTTTAATACAATGTTAAGATGAATTATATTCCAGGTATATCTAATATTATACCTTATATTATATTCCAGGTATATCTAATATTATATTTCACGTTATATTCCAGTTATATGTTTCAGTTCATATGTATTATATGTTCTAATTTGATTTATATGTATGTATTATATATTCCAGGTATGTTCTAGGTATATTTTACGTTATATTCCATGTATATTCCTGGTATATATTACGTTATATTCTAGTTATATTCCAGGTTATTCCACTTTGTAATTGTTTGCACTTTGTAATTTGCACTATAACGTAAAATATCTATTTTGACTAATTCCAAGTATATTTAGTTTATTTCAACTATATTTTTACGCAAAATTACACAAGATGCGAAAAAAAGAAAAATAAATTTCTGAAAAACAGCGTAATAGATGTTTAAACATCTAATTAAATTCGTAAAAATATATTGAAGTATCAATAAATACCAAATATTCATGAAATAAAAAACCATTAAAATTGTACATGACAGTTATTGTATCAATGAAATATCACTAAATATCACTAAATATACTAAATATCAGAATATCACTGAAAACTCCTAAAAAATGACACAGTATATATACCAAAATATATAACTAAATATCATTGAAATATACTATCACTTGTTCAGCCATAGGATATTGTAATACAAGTATAAAACATAGATGAGGATATTGTAATACAATGTTAAGTTGCACGATTTTCTGAAATTATATTTCTCTGCCCCATTATTCAGCCATAGGAGTCAACATAATGCAGTTTCATAAAGACAGCAAGGTTCATATATATCGACATTTAAAGAGGAAAAAAATCAATTTCCACAAGTCAGAAGTGGGCTAAAACTAATCGCATAAGCAATTCTGTTCAAGCAACAGTACCAAGATTCAGAAATATTATGCCACTTCCAAAGTGACCGCTCAGATTAAGAGTGTGTTATCATGCGCAGAATCAAAATATTGCTAAATTAACAAAGCCTAATCAGTAGAAACCTTAACACGTGGGGGATCCATAGCCAACTTTACAGAATATCAGTATTTTTTTTTCCTTATGTGCAGCGATTTTGGATCATGAGCTCGTAAGAAATCACGAAAAATCCGATGGAGCGTTTTTTTGTATTTTTCTGTTTCTTTTTCCTGTTACCATCGCGGAAAGGACGTACATAACATATGGAATGGAGGATGTTACACTGGGTAACTGACTTTTAGGCATTCACGTAAATTTTTTTGGTCTATTAGGTATCTACCAAATTATTTGTTTGTTAATAGTAAATTTGAAATTACTTTAATTTCATGTGGGATGAATAAAAATTTCCGAATAATATTTTAAATAGGCAGGCCAGGCCGGCCCGCCACTATCCACAGCCCGAACGGGCTGACCTGTTTAGGCCCGCTCGCTGGCGGGCCAATATAAAACAGACCGTTCTGGTGTGCTTAGTATGCCTTGTTCAGCATGTTGACTTGCATCTTTTGGGAAACATTGTGGCCGAGTACCATTTTTAAGAGCAACCTAAAATATAAGAGAAAATCGCGTAAATTACACGAACATAGAAGGATATGGTATATTTTACCCAATACTTCCATTACGAAGAAATTAAATAAGTCTTCACGCATCACTCTTAATATTCCTGTTGTTTGGAAAAATTTTATTCTGCAGGCAACTCAACTAGTAATCGATTTTTCCCTGCTTATTGCACGATGACGCCTTATGATATCATTGCTGATTAATTAGGTGACAATTTACAAAGGAGTTTTCATGAAATTACAAGAAAGATAGCATGAGATTGTGTGGAGAGCCAAAAGGAGGATAGCCATAAGCTTTTTGACTTGTACCAATAGAGGTCGTAATTATGTTATCTTTAACAATGTTAGGACTACCATTATGCCTCGTAACATGGCTAGTCGTTTTTTTAAATAGTCTGGCTTGTGGGAGTACCTATCAATATAATAATAATAATAATAATAATAATAAAAAAAGTAAATGAAATGCTCAAGATTTGGACTTTTAACCGTGGTTGATTATTACGATTTGAACTGAATTAACAGTGGTCGGTAGTAAGTTGTGAAAGTAATAGAAATTAGAAAATGACAATTTTTATGACTTAGAGGGCAATAGAATTGATAATTGTGTTAACCTTTTATTTACAATAATATTGTGTACTGTAATTATTCTTGATACAGCTGCTACTTGTCTTTCAGAGTAGGTTGGCGGGACATATGGAGAGGGGAAAGGTAATGAAATTACAATTTGACATGCTAATCACGTATTAATTGATAGCTAGTTATCTAAACAAATGAAAATGACAATCCAAAATTTCCATTTTTCGTTTTCTTTCATTTATTTATTCACTTTTTATTTTTTTAATGATGCTAAGACTACAACCACTTTGAATCGCAAACTAGTATAATAAATTAAGTTACATGTGGCTAGAAAAATTTTTAGTGGCATCCTTTGTCATTTATAAATTTAGTCATCAAAATTTCGTATTCTTCCTTTTTATGTAGACAGGTAAATTCCATATTTAGGGTACAAATTGCTAGCTACCTAAGCTACAACACCAACGAAACAATATTTAGCACTAACNTCCAAAACGATAGATAATATTATAAATTAAAATGCACAAATGTAAATACATAGCAGTCAACGACTGAATACTCAGCAGCCAACAGCTGAAAAGTGGGAGGACAGGTCAGAAGACCGCCTAGAATCCCGGTTAGCAACGCTAGAATAAAAACACTCAAACTAAACTAACTAAAGAATACAAACCACGAAAACAAACTACAAGGACCCCAACGGAGTAATACCCAAGTGTCGGATCCCAACAGGATAATAAGTTGACACTCGGGCTCACAGAGGCCAACGGCCCAAACCAAAAACACACATCCTAATCAACACAAGCACAACGCAAAGAGAAAAATAAGACATCCTAATCTATCGACAAACGAACAAAGCCCTTCCCCAGCGAGCTAACCAATCCCAGCACAAGGCGCCAACGAACTAAAGACAATCATCCGCAGCATAACCCGAGATTCGAAACGCAGCTCCCGCCACTGCCTAATGCCTAGCAAATGACTAGTCCCGAACCCCGAGCCACTCCAAGGATGAAGCCGATCCATAGCCAGAGGAATAACAATCAGACCCCCATACGCTAGTTGCCCAAGACTGACCAACAAACGTACATCTCCACAAGAGCTCCAATTAATCATCCCAGCCCCGGTCGACTTGACTCAGACGAGCCAACCACCAGGGTCGCACCCAAACCCCACCCACTCACCTCCAAAAAGCTACCCACCTCGACCCAGACACGCAGCTGACGACCTCCCACCGATGACCGGGGAGAGCCGAAGCCGACCAACAGCCAACCACCGGTGACTCTACACGGCGAAGCGGAAGGCGGGACCACCGGCGTGCTAGGGACAGCGAGACCTACCGACAGCGGAGGAGTAGCGCCATCGGTGCAGAAGCACGGGAGAGCGAGGACTAGGAGCAAGAGGACGAGGCTATAGACCATCCGCCGGCTCAGGGGCCGGCTAATCGCCGGGGAAGGCACAAATTAGGGGCGAATTTGGCGGAAGACGATGGAGAAGAAGATAGGGTTCGGAGGGATTTGGGGCTGCGCTCACAATTGATATTAGCAATTTCCCTAACTACCTCACTTAGATCCAATATGCAATTGAGGAGTTCCAGTACAAATATATAATGGGACACTAACTCTTAAGCAAAATCTTTTTTCCATTTCTTTTTCAAACGGCAAACAAACAACTTATATAAAACTCAAACAAGAGTACATGGTAATTAAATGATTACAGCCACTTAAGCCTACGACTGTAGACTCAAGAGGCACGAGAAAGGGAATACACCTGACCCTGAGAGGCAAACAAGCCTGAAGAGAAACTACACGAACTAAAAACAGTAGCATTACAACTTTACAAAGGATCCCTAATAACGAGCAAGTCTGGTCTGACCACCTCCATGTGAAGAAGGCTCCTCGAAATGTCCTCCACCAACTCAATCGAGGCAAGGAGAAGTATGGTTGTTGCAATTCTGCTCATTTGCCCTTCTCATACCCCAACTAGTAGCCAGAATCCAAGCCTCTTCTTGATTTGATGCTCCATGTAACACACTTTGCCACTGAAACTGGGTAGATCCATTCTTCTCTACTGAATAAGCCAAACAAGTTCCACTATCACTAGATAATGAAGCACTGAGAGGGTAATCCAAATGATTGTTGGGGGACCTAGCGATGGAGATTGACATAATGAGCGAAATAGGGGCTACCGAGGTGAGAAAGAGGTCGTTAAGGTACAAATAAAATAGCCCAAGGTTAGGCTGTAGTTCAGGTTGGAAAATGTGAAGGGTACTTCTACCTTTCACAACGATGCTCTATTGGTTACAGTAGAGGTCGCTAGTTACGATATTCATTGCGTATTCATCAACACATGGAGCTATGTGGATATTATCTTTCCAACAATTCTTAAGATAGATGGACGTAAATGTAAAGGTGTAGTAGGTCAAAATGTCCCTTTTTTGTTTTAATGATAATGAGGTCACGCCAATTGGGGAAGTATGCCTGACCGTAGCGCTAGGCCGAGGACATTTGACTGACAATCTCACAGGGAATATAATATTGAATTTGAAGTGAGAATAGGGATAAAACCTCAGGCTTTGGCTGATTTTATCCAAAATGTACAGTGAGGAAGTAGGTCGGCCAATGGATTGTTTATGTGGACAGATCTTCGGTGATTAGAGGGGTTAAGCTAGAAATATTGGTCATAACACATGAATAGAATCATCTAAAGCCTGCGATAAAGCTGTCCTTTTGTGCCTCATATAATGAGGTAGAGTACGATACATTAATCAAAAGAATTCAGCTCATCGCAAAATAGGATGGTCAGAACATGGTTATTTACTCAGACTATCAGCTCATCGTCGAGTAGGTCAAGGAGGATTATGAGGCCAAGAAAGATCGTACGTAGAAATATATGGTCTAGGTGCATTAGTTGCTAAAAATGATTCATGACATGGGAGTTCGTTCTAATACCAAAGGGAGAAAATAGCAGGGCATGCCTGTTATTCAAAATTCAAAACCTCTTGGGTAGACTACAAGTCAAATTCAATGTCATTATTGGCGATGGGTTTAAGTTTGTTAGAGCCAGTCATGGAGGTCTTCGAACATGAAGACGGAAGAAAACCACTTGTGAGATGGTTGCAGGATCCAGATGAGTGGGACAAGTATATCCGAGGAGATTCCATCGCAAGACGAGCTATGAGGCTCTTCTTTCTAGATGGGATAGTGTATAAAGGATTCTATGTGGGGCCACATTTACGTTATGTTTTCAAATAGGATGAAGAGTACGCAATAAAATGGGTCACGAAGGCTACTAGGGCGACCAGACTAAGGATAGAGTGTTGACAGGGATAGTTTTATGAGTTGGGTACTTGTGGCCCAAGATGAGGTCAATGTCGCAACAACTTGTACAAAAGTTCCTAATGTGTCAGCAGCATTGGGAGAAGATGATCCCCATGAGATCACCATTACCTGTTAACCAGTTGCGGATGAACATACTAGGTCTTCTACCTCAAGACACTAGGCAAAAGAAATTCCTGTTATTCTTGGTTGACTACTTCAACAAATGAATCAAGACTAAGTCGATGACACGGATCACGAAAGAAAAAGTGATAAAATTTTTGTTCAAAAACAAATGTTGCAGGTATAGTATACCCAGGGTACTCATTTCAGACAACGAATCTTAATGTAAAGGTTAAAAGATTATAGTTTGGTGAGAAGTTATGAAAATTAGACAACACTTTGTCTCGATAGCTCATCCTTAGGCGAATGGATAAGGAGAGATGAAAAACACATCGATAATGAGAGGGATGAAGAGCATATGTGAGAGGGCCTTATGAGCTTTGGATATATGAGCTTGATTCAGCATTATGTTCTTATAGAACCATGCTCGATCCATGACAGGAGAAACACCATTCAGTATGGTGTTTGGCTTGGAGGCGGTCATTCTAGTGGAGATAGGTCTCTGCTTGCAGAGGGTATCCATTTATGATGAGGAAGAGAATGCTGAGATGGAAATGGAAGCACTGGATCAAGTAGACAAGCTACGTGACCAGGCTAGGGTTCTGACAAAATCCTACAAGCAACAGATGAGATCAACCCATGACAAAAAAGTACAAAGTCAGAGGTTTCAGTTGGGAGACCTAGTATGGTGAAAATCTGATGTGCTAAAGTACATCGCAAGCTCGAGTCAAATTGGTAGGGGCTATACATGGTCGAGTGATATTTTCAGGGGGCATGCACAAGTTGCGTGACTCGCATGGGAAGATCTTTCCTCGAACATGAAATATTGAACATTTGAAGAAGTATTACGCATAAGTTTTTCTAGCTCGCTTTTACGTATTCTGTTTTTATTTCTTATGTTCAGTCAATTTATCAGTTTATGAATTGTTCATATTGAAGCATAAGGTTGAGATGGTAGAAGCCTGAGTGGTTAATTGGGGTGCAATAAAGCTAAGGTGGCAGAAGCCCGAGCTATGCGCTCGGGTTAGGTTAAGGTGGCAAAACCCGAGCTATAAGCTAGAGTGGAATAAGGTTAAGGTGGACAAATCTCGAGCTATGAGCTTGGTACCGTAAGGTTACTGTGGTAGAAGCTTGAGTGGTTAGCTTAGGTACCATAAGGTTGAGATGGCAGAAGCCCGAGCTGTTAGCTAGTTTTGATTCTTTTGGCAAATTAGACATTGAATAATATACCCCTTAATTGTAAGGACGAAATGCCGTACGAGTTATGGGAATGCTACAAGCTTACCCGCAAATACATAAAAGTGTGGGGGTTGGAAAATGTTGAAATCTCTAAGTCGGAACAAGTTAAAATTGGATCAAAGTCTATTGATTGTATATTTAATGGTTATGCTGACAATAATAATGCATATCGGTTTTTGGTATACAAATCAAATATTCAAGAGATTCATAATGGAATTATTACTGGAATGTGGTATTCATTGATAATGTCCTTTTTTTTCTCCTAAAAGGGAGAAATAAATGACCTTTAGAAAAGGTACAGCCAAAAAAGTGGAGCTACTTAAAGAAATTGATGATGATTCACCATGAAGAAAGAGGTTAAAGGCACCTAAGTCCCATGGTCCTAGATATCTAACTTATATGTCATAGAACAAACTGAGAACCATTTTTGAAGCTTTGATAAGTTTATAAACTCGTTTTTAGAAGGAACCTATAAATAGTTAGATATAATTCATCATACATAAAGTGTGTCTGGTAAGTACCATAAGCTAGCTTATAGCTTATTTGGTTAGACTAAGCTTTCTGTATGAAAATAAGCTTGGTTTGGTGAGACAAGGTTTTTTTAAAAAAATCGAGCTTATCGCATCACCTTTATTGGGTAGCTTCCCGTTGAAATAATTATTTCAGCTGGCTTATCAGCTAATTTTAGCGAACAATTTTATTGTATGAGCTAGCTCTTATGTCATCAACCATAATCTATCAGCTATAAGTTTGAAATTCAATTATAATTTATTATCTTATTAGCTAGGTTTAAAAAACATACCCTTAACAATACTTGAAAGTTGGTTGATCCCCCACTAGGTAGAAAACCTTTAAGATGTAAATGGCCTTAAAAGGAAGTACAAAGATGATATGACTATTGATAAGTATAAAGCTTGATCGATTATAGAAGGTTTTGAGAAAATGAAGGGACATAATTTCATCGACACGTATTATGTAATGACTCGAATAACATTATAAGTGTTCTCACTGCGATTGGAACTATGCATGACCTAGAGTTTCACAAATGGATATGAAAATGGCCTTCTTAAATGGAGACCTTGAGGAAAAAAATGTATATGAAACAACCAAAAAATGTGTCGTTTGGTTAAGTAACTACAAGCATGTAAGCAATGCCACGAAAGGTTTAGTGCAATATTGTTGTGAAATGGTTTTAAAACAGATAAATATAATAAATGTGTTTACATTAAATGTACCGCTAATTCATTCGTGATAAACGACATGTGATCTTAGAAAAAAATAACGGCTTAATTCTTAGTTCCTAAAACATGTGGAAAAAAGATAACAATATAAAATATATGAGAAAAAGTAATGTGATTTTTAGGGTTAAAAGTAAGAAAAAAAAAACCAGAAGAAATTGTTCGGTCACAATGTCATTATGTTATAATTATCTTGAAGAGGTTCAATGAATTTGATAAGCCTCCAGCTAAGATACCTCTAGATTTAACTCAACACTTTGTTAAACATCAAGATAAATCGGTTTCTCAACTAGAATATTTACAAGTAATGGGAGCTTGATGTACTTGATGAATTTTACTCATCCCGATATAGTATATCTGGCGAGTAAACTAAGTAGTTTCACGAGCAACCCGAGCGAAAAATATTGAATTGCATTGAATTGGGTACTTAGGCATTTAAAGCATACCTTGGGTACTTTAATAACTTATAAGAGATATTCGACAGTACTTAGGTATTGAATTGAAAATTTAATATCGGACACGAAAGACTCAAAGTACACAAATAGTTATGTGTTCACGATAGGTGAAGGAACTAGGCCATTGAAATCTTCTTAGAAAACGTGTATCGCTAGATCCATGATGGAGTCTAAATTTATATCTTAGATAAAAGTTGGTGAAGAATCTGGGTGACTTTGAAATTGTTTTATGGATATTCACTGTTGGATTAAGCTGGTGTTCGCCATGACGAATCATTGTGATAATCATTAGACAATTACAAAAATATAATGTAACTTGTACAATGGTAAGTCATGACAATACAACGTCTCGGGACGGATCGACCCATTGACCTGGTGGACTAGACTTGTTGACAAGCCGACCTGGGCGCAAGGTCCTGGGCCAAAACTAGAAATCAGCCCATGTGTTACGCTGGTTGATTCCAAGCGAAGCATACAAAACATTTTGATCCGATGGGACAAGACCTAATTCAGCACTAATCCAACCGATTGGGTTTGGCGCCCAAATTTTAAAATTCAAATTTGGATTTTCTATTTCATTTCTAGTCAAACCGGGAACCAGTAAGTTGGTTCTGACTATAATTTAATCTCGGTCTTGGATCTTCTAGTGGTTGCAAGATCAACAACCAAGATTTACCCAAGCCTACGGGTCAATGGGCCTAACCTCGAACCGATGGGTCGGCAATAAGTTTTTTTTTTCTTTTTCAAAGCACTAGGACCAAATGGGTCGGCCTCGAATTGGCGGGTTCTTGACCCAAACCTAATACCTCCGAGCTAGTTTTAGTTCACAATTTTATTCAGTAATAATCCATTAGGTCGAACCCGTTTGTCACCTCTACTCTCAGCATAGACGCTTGAAGTACACATATGGCAAATGATATCGAGTGGGGTTATTTAAGTTACATTAAGTCAAGGGAAAACCTAACTAATTTCCTTAATGAAGACATCAATTGAGATTAAACACAAAAAACTAGTTTGTTAGAGGAATGAATTTAAAATCCACAACAAAAGAGTAGTCTTAGAGGTATATATCCCAACCTTGAGAATTACAGATTGCGAAACTTTGGTTGTTTAGAAAAACTAAGTTTCGACTGTTCAATGAAGCAGCTGAAAATATTTAATTGTTCTTAAGAACTGTCGAGTGTTAAATATGTCTAACTAGTGAGATTAAGTCTACAAGACTCAAACACCTAAGGGTGGAACATGATATGTTCTTTATAGAAGAATCACAATTATAAGTAAGTATGAAAGTAGGCCACTTTAGTGAACACTAACTACATCGAGATGGCGACAAGGTCGAATGGACACAACGTGAGAACAAAAAATTGTTATGACTAATGTCTTGTAAGTATTGTTGTCTTCATGCACACAAACAATCTATATGTTTAAAGCATAATGCTACTAACCAACTAGTGTATCCGATATTATTTAACTAATGAAGATTCAAAGCCACAAGCTATCTACTCTGATACAATGACGGTTCACCAGAACTCTGAAGGTTGCATACGTGCGTTAATTTCATTCCTATGGAATGGTAACAAAAAATTGGCTCAAAAATAGATGGCCTAGAAAAATCTAAGGTGTAGAAAAAAAAAAGGTTGTGTAATTCAAAATTAACTAGAATCGAAAACAGACATCAATGACTGAGGGCTTGATTGTTTACAAGTTAATTTACTCACATTTATTTCATATTCAAAATCTAACTCAACTTTAACTCAACCACACTATCTTTAATATTATTCATATAATTAAACAATACAAATCAATCATTCTTACACATCACGTCAACTTTAATTCAATATTCATCCAGTCACATAATTTTAATTACTTATCATTTCCAATCATTTATCTCATATTTTTACATCAAATCGATTTTAATCATTTTATTTAAAATATTGTTTTAATACATTCTTAAAATTCCACTAACAACTAAGTAATATACCATTTTTTCTCAAATTAACTATGGTTAACCAATATAACTCATTTTAAACAAATTATTTGATAAACAATCAAGCCCTGAGTTTGTTGCACTAGTGCCTACTTTAGCTTGTTGTAATATTTTATCTAAGATACAATTCACTTCTAATTAATTCTTTAGT